CTGAGTACACATTTTTTAAATATTTAAATACCTTGTGTATTGATGACGCTTGCTGAACTTTTAAGCTGATGGAGTTCTTTTGCACTGAATGTTTCATCCAAGTCCAAGCAGCTTCCTGATTTTCTTTTGAGGACTAAGAAGGCCTCTGTTGTTTTTGGGCCATTATTTTTTTTCCCTGGTCTGCGCATGTTTTCAGGAACATAGAGAATATTCTCTTGCACGCAGCACTGGAGTGAGGTATGGTGAGGATCCCTTTCACTACATGGGCAAGATTCTTAAGGGATGGGTGCTTTTGGCAAATTGTTTGCCAAATCCTGTCAACTCTTACCCCATCCTCAATGTTCCTCTGCTGATGCCTATCAAACTCTTCATAGATGGTGTCAACATCAGTCCCTCTGGGGATCAGAATGGGGAATCTGGTAAGGAAGTATTCTAGGTGGTGTTGTTTAACCTTCTTTTTGGATTAAATACAGAAGCATTCTGAAGTGCAGGATCTGATAGGGAAGTTTTTTTTAGAAGGTAGTCAAGCACCATCTCAAATATTTTCCAACAGAAGCATAGAACTCCACAACCCCCTTGTCTCTAGGGGTGTACTTTTCTTTGTTTTGCAGCATGGTCTTTGCCTGAGATCCAACAATCAGGTCAGCATCATCTTTCTGACTGCTTCTTAGATTGTATTGGAACTGAAAGACAAAAAAAAATTATAACATAGTACTGAAGTTATTATGATAAACCATTTAGATGATAATTTAAAACAAAAGAAATGTATTAAATTTGTCCAATAACTACAACATAAATGCATACATTAACATAACCATGGTAGCTCATGAAACATTTTCACAATTCTCCTCAACGTTGACCTCATTATGCAAAGGTCGCACAGGCCATTTTGGATTAGTGATCCCGCCCCCTTTTAAATGGCAGAAAACGTCGATACTTAGCTTAGGAAATATTCATTATTATCTCTATATACATCAAAATATTTTATAACTTGTGTTTCAGAATGCATTTTGAAAACATTTTTAAATTTGAGCTTTAAAAACCCAGTTGAGTCCATATTATTAGCGATCAGAATTGACCATGTGCAAAAAGTCATGGGAAACCACAGCCATTTGCATACATAATGAATAATGCTATGCCGTAGTACTACCAACTACCTCAAGTTTCATTCATATAAGAGTTTGCCATGTGCAAAAACTATTAACACCATTGGTCAGGGAAAGCTTTAGTTAATTAGTCATGTGCCAAAGTTGAAAGTTCAAAATAAGTAGATACCAAACAACATTTTAGGGGGTGCGTTGCCTTATATAGACTATATAGCATTTACCGGTATAATGGAAGCTGAAGATTTGGTAAACAGAAAAGCCATATATTAATACATTATTATATATATTAAATTTACTGATATAAATAGTGCATAGTTAGATAAGCTACAATTTATCTATAATTGTTAACATTATTAAAATAATTTTTTTAATACAGCATTAGTTCATTAAAACAAGAGTTATATAGCTGGTGATGCCAACAGCGGAATTGGGTAACCCGAAAATGGAGATGCGGTCCATGTTAAAAAAGGACAAATTAACTTGATTAAGTCGTACTTTAACATTCATAACTTTAAAACTACAACATCTTAAAATATGATTTTGGTGTTATAATTCTTTAAAAAAATTAGCTTTATTCAACTATGCCATTGGTTTATTTTTACAAAAAGTTTTAATTTTCTAATCAAAGTGCCTAGAAGGAATGAAATTTAAGCGCGATTAATTATTTCTAGTGATATAAAATTAAAACTTCCTCTTTACCTGATGGAACTAAAGGCCTAAAATAGCGTCTTTTTGTTCATGTACAATAGCCATTTAACAAGATAAAAAAAAAAAGTAGCCTACATTTCATGAACCTTTTGTCATAAATGACGCCATTGTGGGAAAACAAGGAGAACTCTTCTGTCTTCAAAGATACGTTTTAAAAGTTGCCCAATTGGATATATTTAGATTTAAATAATTTTTAAAAAAATGTATAGATCTATCTACTTTGTCTGATATTTCTTTCTAGCCCACTGGATCCATGCACAGCAATGTATAGGTGGTACTCGCAAGGGACCTCAATATCAGGGGGCGCATTCGCCCGGGCGCTGCTTTTCCTTTGCACGGTTGTGCATCCATTACGGACGTAACGCGGCTAGAATTTTGAGGGTGGGGGTTATGTGGGAAATGTTTGTTAAAACTTTAAATACAATTGTCAATTTCCTTTCTTAAAATGTGTGACAGTTTCGATTTCTTTCTCAATAAATAGCTGGTGATTTACTAAGACTAAAAGGCAAAAAGCGGGAAAGTAATGAAATATATGTCAGTAGCGAAATAAACACCATTGCAAACAGATGGCTAACAAAGCAACTTGGCTCCATCCAGATACATAAAATCACTAACACTGCCTCTCATTTTACTCACCACAAACCAGAGTCAACTTAGATGGCATCTAAATAATTAATTTCCATCTATCAAATTAGAGCTGACCAACCACAGACCATTTAAATAGCTTATTTGCCTACTATGACTCACAATTGTCGAGAAAAAGTCAATCCCCTTGCATAGGAAGGGGGCTGTGGAGGGGGTGGTCCACACAGGTGCCACTCGTAACGTTTCCCAGATCTGCTCATTATGAGGACACGTTGCACATCACCCAACGCTTGGAAATTGGTCACTCTCTGTTGTCGTTGGAATTCTATTTAGTAGCAGAGTCTCTCGCTTCGCACCTTTTTTTGCCCATGCGCCGTTTCCCTAGTCTGGTTTGCTGATTACCGAAGTCATTCTCTGATACACTTAAGTAATACGTCGGCATAGCTCGAGCGACGTGGCCTCCACGGCCTTGCCATGTTTCTGTTGTCGCCGCGGCACACTTCTATTGCTGCCCACAGATACTACTTACCAGCTAAGTGCTATTTCTTATTTTTATACCATTTTTTTCTGTTGTTTTGTTCGCTGACGAAGGCTTTCTGCCGACACGTTCGCTGTTTTGTTGCGTTTATTTTTTCAGGTTTAACCCTACTCTGTTTAACTCATTTTATTAAGTGAAATTCTTTACTACAACATTCCGCTTTTCCTGTGACTCACATGGCTTGAGACCCCCCTCCCCCTCGTCACAAAAACCAGCCCCCCCTCCCCCTAGACACGTGACGTCATTTATGAATGGCCCCAAATCATTTGTCAGTGTCTTTTTCAGCTTTTATCGATATAGCATTTTCATTTTTTTTCCGACGTCAATGGATGAATCAGGAGGAATAGTTTTGGAACTACGTAATTGAAACTTTGCATGCTTATTTATATTGACATTCTCTACTTAATGATGGGTGGTTTTTAAACCAATATCTCAAAGGAAAATTTGTCAGAATTTTTTTATTTATGTATTTTTTTTATTAGGTTCATGTGTTAATTTTTTTTTTCTATCTTTTCTGTCTTAGTTTTCTAATTGTTTTTTAATTCATGAATGATATATGTACACGGTGTATGCATCCTATATCGTTCATGCAGCCCTCTAATTATACTTTTTTTCATTCTTCTTAATTTTGCATTTTCTGGATTTTTTTAGGAACGCCAAATGAATTGGGAGGAAAAGTATTCTAGCTACCGCCTTCAAACATTGCATGCTTCTTTTCATTGATATTCTTTACAAAATTCAAGAGGATTTTTTTTTTATATACCGGGTATATCCAACTAGAAAAGTTGTATAACATTTCTACATTTGCTACTCCTGAAGAGTTCTCGAATATTTATGTGGCCCCCACAAACATGCCATTTGTAACACTTCCAATGACTGCTGTGTAATAATCTTCTTTAAACTTTTTTTCAATGTTATTCTTAATGTGTATGCCAAGTTTCATTTAAAATACAGTACAAATACAAAAAGTTACAATACAATGCAATACAAATGTGTCTTTATTCATTTTGCGTAAAAGTCAAAATTGGTATAAAATGTTAAATATTTTGCAATAAAAGTCACAACAAATAAAAAAAAAAAAAACTTTAGTGGATTTTTGTCTTTCTGTTTATATATGGTTTGTATGTACTATATTTTTTCAATGGCTCTATTTATTTAGGGTTATCAGTATTTTATTTTCAATGTGGCATGACTTAGTTGCGTTGAAACCAAACTCCCTTCACAGATCACATATATTTGCTCCCACTCAATCATTACATCTGTACTTAAATGAAGAAATGATACAAAAAATAGTTAACTGTACGGGTACCAACAAGGAATGTGAGAAAGTAAAAGGAGACAAATGGCAAAGGAATGATGTGACCAAATTGAATGAGTTTATTGGCTGCCTACTCCTTACTGGCCCCTAATTTATTTTATGGATTACTTGAGTACACAACTTAAATAACTAACAACCAACAAAAATGTTCTCAAATCAGTTAAGGTTGTTTTTTTTTCTATTAAATTTTAAATTATGTACCAGTGTGTTAGACCCAGTAGACAGATATGGTAAAAAAAAAAAGACGAGTCCTCCAAAAATAAGTCTCTTTCTCATACTTTATACAATGGCATCCTTTAACTTTAAGATGTTCATTGCAACTACCTTGTGAATTAGGTCAAGTCAAATGAGAAAAGTTGTTGAAAAAGAGATTCGAGATATCAGGAAAAACAGTCAGTGTCCAAGGAAAAAGTTTAAAATTGGTGGTTTTGTTCTGACTAAGCCAAGCTCTCTAAAGGAATAGTTGAAATTAATTCATTATGAATGAAATTTTCATTATTTAGAATACCTAATTAATTCATAAAGTACTGTGTGATTAAATCTTTTAACTTAAAAATTACAGGTACACATAAATAATCTTAAATAAACGATTTAATTTTAATAATTAAATTAATATTATTACTTTTTTAAAATTCAAATGAAAACAATAAATGTATCTAAATCATCTTCATTACTAGATTTTAAAAAAAAAATGATCTACGAAAATAGATTAATTAAACTAAAAAAGAAAAGAAAAAAAAATCTACCCGTCCTAAGAGAAATTAACAAAGCAAAAATAAAAAAAATAGAATAGAATAAAACAATGAATCTGTGAAATAACAAGGAGAAAAAACAATTTTTAAAAAAATAATTCTCTTACAATTATTGTTTTCACACCCGGCTCCGAAGCCATTTAATCTGTACGGAGCCACTCCGGGTGCGAATAGTCATTGGCCATTAAAGGTACCCGCGTACCTATAGATGCTGCCTTTTTAAAATATGCCTTTTCTAATTTACGGTGTATAAAAGTATTAAAAGCAATACAAATTAAAATGTCCAATCAGGCACGTCTGATTTCTTTGTTTCCCTACTGACTTTGACTTGCCAGGATGACTTCTGCTTGGTAGCCACTTTTTTCAACACACCCATGACCAGTCAGACACAGCATCTTTAAGTGGCCAGATACCTTTTAACCAAGACCGTTATAAAATATCTCATGCCTTGTTTCCCTATTTATATGTCCCCACGGTGCCAACTCCAGCAAGTGACAATTGCTTGAGTAAGTCTCTGTCCAGTCCTGGGGAGGCATGTCGATGGGGCTAAATTCGGAACAAGACCATATTGACAGCATCCGGTGTCCAGTTGCCAAGCGTGGGTGTCCAGAAATTTTCATTAGGGATGTTGAGGCGCACGTGCTGAAAGTAAAGGGAGAACACTCTAGTGTGCATACATACCAAATAACTTTTAAGAGGGTCTTACAAACTATCTGATGTCCTCATGAACCAAGGAACTCACTGCTGACTGGACATTCCCCCCAGCAGAGCCGTTCTTATGCATAGGCAAGCTAGGCGACCACTAGGGCCCCACTGCCCAGGGGGCCCCACCGGTCACTTTTTTCAGCCAAGTCCATATATTTCAGCCAAGTCCATATATTTCAGCCAAGTCCATATATTTCAGCCAAGTCCATATATTTCAGCCAAGTCCATATATTTCAGCCAAGTCCATATATTTCAGCCAAGTCCATATATTTCAGAAGTCCACATTTTCTCTCAAAGGGGAATTATCAATGGTTACTGGTTGCACGCGAGCGAAGATTAAACAGTGACGAAGGCAGAATGGCGGTGTCCCAGTGGTGGGTGGTGTTTTCCCCTCAGCTCCGGGGTAGCTCCGCCCCCAACCCCCCCCCCCTTCTGGGCCCCCCTACCTACGTTCCATGCCTAGGGCCCCCTAAGCCTAAGAACGACTCTGCCCCCCACACATTGGTAGATATTATGGAGGATGGTTTTTTTTTTCAACAGAAGAAGGATTTAAACCATGTAAGTGACTCATTTGATTTATATTTTTTGACCAGCTCCCGGAATTAGCTTTAGATTGATTGATTGATTGATTTGATATTTATATCGCTCTAGTATCCATGCCACTTTACCATGCTCACAGCGCCCTGTTCCTTCGAAATCTATTTAAACAAATAGATTCATAGCACGTGTGGGAATATGTAGACGAAGTAGTGTGATAAATTAAAAATCAATAATATATCAATTATGAGTCGTTCCCTCGCGGCGATGTGCATATCCTAAAGGTGAATTGGTCACTGCGGGAACAAGGTTGAGAACCATCGTGTCAAGAGTCTCCATATTCGAAACATCGGAAATGCGTCTTAGTGGGGAAGATGTCGGCAAAGTGTACGCCTGTTACATCCCATTTTAAGTTAACGGTACTCGCTCTAAATCTATACAAGCTACCTGTCCGGGGTACAGTCTGCCATACAAGCTACCTGTCCGGGGTACAGTCTCCCATTAGGATTACACACTCCGCAATCAGAGGCGAACCAGAAACCTGCGCCGTGGGTTTGTGCGCAGTTGACGTCACTTCCGTCGTTATCTCTATCCCAAGTCGAGAACTTGATGCTTGTGTTTGCCCAACACCCGTCCATGAAAATTTTGTCTGGAAGAGAGAAATGGCGTGGGGTAGCTTTTCATCTTGCAAAAGTTTCGGATATTGTTATATGTGTTTGCCCTGTATTGCTTATGAAATTATATATATATATATATAATTCAAGACTCGCAGAATCCCGTTATAGTAAATATTAATTTTTGTCATAGTAATGTTGAACTGAGAGTTAGATGAAAGGTCGCAGTGTTCAATGTACAAGCCACCGACCATCATCTTTCGACCAGCTCGTGGTGTAGCTGACAGCGTAGGAGTTGGCCCCGTCTGACATGGTGAAGTTTTTATGATAGCGCTGGAATGTTTTGGTCTTGCCTTCGGACAGTTGAACCATCAGGACTTGGGGGAAACTGAAATGAGAGAAAATGGCGTCGAGTAGTGGACATATGACGTCGAGTAGTGTGGCGTATGCTTGAATGAAAAAACTTCCCCACTTATAGTGTCGTTACTCCTTTATATATAGCTATATCAATACCGGTGTACAACGTTAGCTGAAGAAAATGTATTATGCTTTTTTTAATTTTCTTTTTTTTTTTGGTTCCTTTATATACCGGGTATTTCTAATTTCAACGCTTATATTTAAACACTGTAATACATCTTTTAGTTAAGTTAACTTAAAACCAAACTTAATTCAAAATTGCGATATATATACCGGTCTGCGCTGAACTTCCGTTTTGACAAACAGATCCTGAATTTATGTTGTTACCGAAATGAACCAAACCTGAACTCCTAATGGAGGTCTCCCATCTCTAGTTATGATGATAGCAAGAGGAATTATCATCTGCACCCAGGCCCGCACAACTCAAAATGTAAGGCGGGCCATCTCCACCCAGGCTTGCACAACTCAAAATGTAAGGCGGGCCATCTCCACCCAGGCTTGCACTACTCAAAATGTAAGGCGGGCCATCTCCACCCAGGCTTGCACAACTCAAAATGTAAGGCGGGCCATCTCCACCCAGGCACGCACAACTCAAAATGTAAGGCGGGCCATCTCCACCCAGGCACGCACAACTCAAAATGTAAGGCGGCCATCTCCACCCAGGCCCGCACAACTCAAAATGTAAGGCGGGCCATCTCCACCCAGGCACGCACAACTCAAAATGTAAGGCGGGCCATCTCCACCCAGGCCCGCACAACTCAAAATGTAAGGCGGGCCATCTCCACCCAGGCCCGCACAACTCAAAATGTAAGGCGGGCCATCTCCACCCAGGCCCGCACAACTCAAAATGTCAGGCGGGCCTTAATACTTTAAGTCAATTTAGGAAGAACTTGTGTGGGCCAAAAACAAATTAAGACAGGGGGGGGGGAGCTATTAATAAAATAATAAGAATAAAGAATATTTCGTTACTTCGCGGGCCGCAAAGTGGGTGCTGGCGGGCCGTATGTTGTGCCGTTTTTTTTTCTACGCAGCTGTAACCATTTTCAAGCGTAAGTTATAGCCAGAAATATCAGCATTTTATTTTCTTTCCCGATATGAACATGTAACTTCCTATTTCTTGGAATAGGCAGAGGGGGCGCGGGGGGGGATGCCACCCCTCAATATATATTTTGTTAAAGTACGCCCTTGCCCCCACCCACCTCATATATAAACCACATTATGGTCATTTGATTATGCTTAAAGGAAATGTATTTTAAAATTGACAAAATGCCAGCACACCAATGCCATCAGGCAGAGAGACACGCTTAGACAACAATGGAACATGGTAAATACTGTCAACAGCATGATCAGAAAACATTGTTGGGTCGCCAGCGATCAAAACCAATGCCACGGTCTTATAAAAAAAAAATTGTAAACCATCGCCGCCATGTGAAGTAAGAGTTGTCCATTAAATATACCGAGACCTCCCTGCTTCAACAATTTTGGTTTTATTTACTTTGACTTGACTTCGACTTGAGTCTGGGAGAGTGCCTTCATTAACCACCCCCCCCCCCCCCCGAACCCTAAAAACTGACTCCGCCCACATTTTATCCACACCAACCTGCTAGTTATCCAGTGGATGTATTCATTGCCCAGCCAGAAATCGCTGTTGTCCGTAATCTCGAACCCCACTTTGAAGTCTAGCCATGTTCGGTTAAAGTCAATATTGGCGTTGGTGCGTGCTTGTAGCCGGGTGATGCCCGTTCCCTGGCTCATCTGGCAGTACACCTGGTGGGGGAGAGATCAATGCGACCACTGCAATCAAAGACTGCTGATCACAGGCAGTGAACTGAACGACTATTGATACATCAGGGAGAAGCAAAGAAACACTCTGTTCATTATGAGGTTTATTAAATAAATCTTCTCAATCTTAAATTGATTAATTGTATGACTTTATACATTTCTAATCAACAGGATATATAATTAAGGAGCCAATATAAAAAGATGTATTGAGCTATAATATAGGGGCATATTCAACTAAGACAATGGGATATAATCAACTAAAATTTAGGGATATATAACGAAGTTCATGGTTTTAAAAAATCCAAATTTTGAAGCATGTCTGTCATTGCAATACATCTAGGGACACACTGTCATCTGAGACATGGGGGTACGGTACATTAGAAACACACAAATGATGTTTGAATTTGGCAGCCGTCACCAATGGGGAACCTTAAACATTTATAAGAGCCGAGTTACTGGGCAGGTCAGACAAAGACTCTTGCAAGTGACCTTGAATGCGTCGGTCGCCAAGGTCGGCTTTATCCAGTACTTCTGGTCACTCCTGTAGCCACCAAGTGTGTAGCCCTCGGAACAATCTAGAACGAGAACAAGAGGCTGGCAACAACAAGCTGTCTACGCGGGATACATGTCTTTGTTTGAAATTAATTCGTGCACCGTAACAGTTCCATTCATTCAAGTATTCTTAACCAGGCATTTTTTTTTCTTACGGCACAAATTTGGTACCTTAAAAAAAACAGCGATATTTTGTTTGAGATGCTCTTTACTTTACGGAAGTCATACTATTTTTTTATTTTTTTTTGGGGGGGGGGGGGNTGCATGAGTCTTTCACAGTACGTGCCAACGTATCCATCGATACACTTGCATGATCCACTGTCAGCGCTGAAAGATCCACCATTGAGGCAAGTGGATTGCTGTGGATAAAACCAAAAAAAAAAAAAAAACAAAGGCAGAGACATACCATGACCATCGACAATTAGCTGATCGAAATGGCTTTGCCTGCGTGTACTAACTTTATACAGAGAATTAGCCACATAGGGATAGCACCGCAGTAACTTTATACAGAGAATTAGCCACATAGGGATAGCACCGCAGTAACTTTATACAGAGAATTAGCCACATAAGGATAGGACTGCAGAAACTTAATACAGAGAATTAGCCACATAAGGATAGGAATGCAGTAACTTTATACAGAGAATTAGCCACATAGGGATAGGACTACAGTAACTTCATACAGAGAATTAGCCACATATGGATAAACTGCAGTAACTTAAGACAGAGAATTAGCCACATAGGGATAGGACTGCAGTAACTTTAGACAGAGAATTAGCCACATAGGGATAGCACTGCAGTAACTTTATACAGAGAATTAGCCACATAGAGATAGCACTGCAGTAACTTAAGACAGGGAATTAGCCACATAAGGATAGCACTGCAGTAACTTTATACAGAGAATTAGCCACATAAGGATAGCACTGCAGTAGCTTTATACAGAGAATTAGCCACATAGGGATAACACTGCAGTAACTTTATACAGAGAATTAGCCACATAGGGATAGGACTGCATTAACAACAACAACAACAACAAAAAGATGATGATGAAAGGGTAGATTCTGATGTTGAAAATTTAAAAAAATATTTGTATCACGACATTTACAAATATGTATACAGGTTTGTAAAGTTGTATTTAAGGTAAACGCGTTTGGGTAATTTTGATGTTTTTATGGTGAAATTACAAAAAGCTCAAAAGCACACATTGGTTGTCTTTGTTCTCCAGTGATGACAACGGGCTAAAGGGAACAGGTTAGTGAAAATGCAGTGACGTCATATAAGAATGTCCACACTCCCCTATATTACGCCCTCATCCCCATTACGATCCAAACCACTGACCTTGATGCAGTAGACCTAACCCATTGACCTTGACGTTGTAGACCTGACCCACTGACCTGGACGTGGCTGACCCGACCCACTGACCTTGACATGGCTGACCCGACCCACTGACATTGACGTGGCAGACGCGACCCACTGACCTTGACGTGGCGGACCCGACCCACTGACCTTGACGTGGCGGACCCGACCCACTGACCTTGGCGTGGCGGACCCGACCCACTGACCTTGGCGTGGCGGACCCGACCCACTGACCTTGACGTGGCTGACCCGACCCACTGACCTTGACGTGACTGACCCGACCCACTGACCTTGACGTGGCTGACCCGACCCACTGACCTTGACGTGGCGGACCCGACCCACTGACCTTGACGTGGCTGACCCGACCTACTGACCTTGACGTAGACGCTGTTGGTGTCCGTGCTGTCGCTGGTGCACGCCTTGAGGCGGGCCAGGGACTGATTGTACAAGACGCACGCGGCCGATGTGGACCTGGCGTACCCGGTACACTTGTCGTCTGCGGCACACAGCAAACCACACTCCAGGGTCGTCTTCAGGGTCGCCCCTGAGTAGGACGTCACGTTGCCGCCGCACAAGAGAGTCCTCTCGAAGAAACTCTCCCGCACCGAAGCTGGGATTGACGTGGCAATGAAGCCGCTACAGGTCAGGGTCAGGAGGAGCCATCTTGAATTCGAAAGATGCGCCATAGTGCTTACTGCAATAATAGAGTGAATGAATGATACAATGGAATGAATGATACAATGGAATGAATGATACAATGGAATGAATGATAAAATGCCGAAAATTGTTGAATGGAAAATAATAAGATCAGAGGACCACGGTCCCTAATGCTACGAAGCGGGAGAGACTGCAATACGGTTAGTAAAAAAAAAAAAAGGAAATGATCGAAACAAAGTATGTGGAAACCTGAAAAAGTAATGCAACAAAACAACGAGCGTATCGGCAAGACGCCTTCACCAGCAAACAAACAACAGTAAAAACATAATTAAAATTAAAAAATAACACGTTGCTGAAGAAAGTTTAGTATCTGAGAAGGCCGCACGAGAATTGTCAAAGCAATGAGTTAGGCCATTAGGGGCCACGATCCCTAAGCGCCCAAAGACCCCCAACGGTCCAACTCTTTCAACGATGTATTTTTGCGCCCCCGTTATGTACTCATCTGTTTTAATCTGACCTGCAGAGTCACAGACCATTGTTCTTGTCCAGGAACCAGGAATCTGACATTGTGCAAATATTTACACAAGAAAAGGATTTGGTGGACAAGATCGGTGGTGAGTCACTACTGTTAAGTATTGCTTCCTAGACTCGTGGTACCCAATGATCAAAATATTTTTACAGAACATTTTAATTTTAAGCTAAGCATTTTTATTTACTAGGGCCGTAATATTTATATTTTTAGTCAGATTTTTTAGAGCCATGATGACGAGGCTTGACCAAGACAAACACATCCACAAGGAACATGAAACACACCTACAATGTAAAGGAATTAAAATAAAAAAAACACGAACTATGTAAGGTTGCTTACCACACGCCTTTGAGTTTTTAAATCATCACATTCTAAATTACATACTGAACTCGGAGTTTGTAAACAGTTATGGCTTTTGATGGCTATCACCCAAACCTTTTGATATAATGACCCATGGTTTTTGATATTAGCACCAATGGCTTTTGATATTATCACCCAAGCCTCTTGATATGATCACCCATGGCTTTTGATTTTATTTTTATTTTACTTCTCCATCTGTAGAAATGTCTTCAGCCAAACAAACTCTGTATGAACTTTCAAACTGAAGAAATCATTTGATGTAAAAAAAAAGTAACTTAAAATATAATCCCCCTCCCCCCACCCCATCCCCCACCCCCCCCCCTCAAAAAAAAAATAATTAAAAATTAAATAAATTTTTTTTTTTTTTTAAATTCATTTTTTAAAACTTTTATTTCCGTTTTGCTTAATAGCACAACATATCTTTACAACAAACCAGCCAAATTTCCAAACAAATTCAAAGCTGTTTAAAATACTTACTTACTGACCATAAAATGGTTAATTTTTTTTTTTTAAAGTTATAAACTCTTTAGAAGAGAATAATCCATTTTAAGAACAGGCCTAACATTTTCTAGGGACATTATCCCTTTTTAAGCCACTCTCAAGTTGTTTATTACTTGCGTGTCGTGTTACAGTTATCGTCCCATGAAATAATCCGTTTTTCATAAACCTCTAGTGGCACAAACAGAATACCAGGGAATGCACAAGATAAAAGGCGATACCACTTTAATCACGTTACTTCTGTTACAATATCGCCGCCTGAACGCATCCAATGAACCAATCCGATGTCGACCCCAGCGTCACGTGTCCCGCGCTCAGCTCAACGTTTCGCATTATTTCGTTCCGCTGAAAAAACAATATTTGTGAGAAAATCGGTAGTTCTCGCCGTGAGTGGGCTTTCAGATGCCCGTTAGCGCGTGCAGTCTGTGGGGAAAAAAGGGGGGGGGGGACATGGGAGCCTATTATACATTCATTCCCCTCTCAATTTAAGCCAATAAGATACATATTTACCCACCCCTGTCTTTATTTCTGTTTGCTGAGAGCTATTTAATACAACTCTAAATCCATAATAAATGCTCGGCAGTGGTGGACCCAGAAGATGACTTTATTTTTTGGTTGGAAGGGAGATGTCCTCAATTTTTTTTTTTTTTTTTGGTAAGCTTTACGAAAAATCATAAAAGTAGGGGGGGGTGGGTTGCTTGACCAGGAACTTTTTAAAAGTTAACCCCCTTCCCCCCCCCCATTATTTTTTTGTTGGAAGGGAGATTTCCTTAATTTTTTTTTTTTTTTTTGGTAAGCTTTACGAAAAATCATAAAAGTAGGGCGGGGTGGGTTGCATGACCAGGAACTTTTTAAAAGTTAACCCCCTTCCCCCCCCCCCAACCCTTCTCTTAAGTCCCCAAATTTTACTCAACATTAGTTACACTGATTTTTTTTATTCGTATGTGTTTGTGTGACCTTCTACAGTGGTTTTCAACAGTACACCATTTCCATGCTGCCCCAGAGGTTCTCAGAGGATGTACCGTAAACATTATTCCAAATGGCAGTTTGGAAGCTTTTTTGTCTAGAGGTTGAAATTAACCCCGGTAGTCGTCGCCAGGTGTCGCAGTAATTTATTCCTCTTCTAACCACTTAGATCTATACAATAAAATACATACTTAAATAATACTGGACATAAAACATGAACTTTCAAGGCAATTAGATGGTAAATGATTGATTGCAAGTTGAGGAGCTTGGTCGACAATTATCCTAAGTCAGAGATTAAATAGGGTTGGGTCCTTTAATACTTCACTTCTGCGCGAAAAAAATGATTTCACTTGATCAACCTGTTTTCAGCGGGGTGGAGTCTAAAGTCAGTGTTTTTCTTGTTTTTTTTTTAATCCTTGTTTTTGAATGGTTAGCAAATTTTAATGGAGTCGCGACCCTGCTGAAGAGTTGAGAACCGCTGTACTGCAGCTGTGAAACACGACACGCTGAATGCCTGTAATTGTGTGATCTCTCAGTTAGAACGTGTTCTATGTGTGGACATGGCCCCAGTGTTCAGTTCATTCAGTGGACTCGTGCTCACACCAGCGGGTCTCACATTCAGGTGGATATGGCCCCAGTGTTCAGTTCATTCAGTGGACTCGTACTCAACACCAGCGAGTCTCACATTCAGGTGGACATGGCCCCAGTGTTCAGTTCATTCAGTGGACTCGTACTCAACACCAGCGAGTCTCACATTCAGGTGGACATGGCCCCAGTGTTCAGTTCATTCAGTGGACTCGTACTCACACCAGCGAGTCTCACATTCAGGTGGACATGGCCCCAGTGTTCAGTTCATTCAGTGGACTCGTACTCAACACCAGCGAGTCTCACATTCACACAATTTGCAGGGGGCGCCAAATCACAACGCATGGTATATGTTGGTATGACATAAGGATTGAAAAAAACAAAACAACTGTATATATGTATTATGTTTATAAATACATGAAGGCGTATTGAGATGTATGTGGCTGTTGTTGAGATCAGGATTGTAGGATCGTTCCGGATTCAAAAGATGCATTCACTGTAACTGTAAAAAAAAAAAAATTTACCTAGTCATAAAGTTACAATTATCATTTCCCTGTCATCAGTTCGGAATTTTCTCTGAGGCTGAAACATTTTTTGTTTTTTGTTTTTGCTTTTATAGTGCCTAAGAATTCTCTCGATAACACCGGTCAACAACAATTCTGCTACTGAAAGTGAAACACGTGGGAGACACGGATTTTAACGTCCTGATTCCAAATATGACGTTAGGTTTCGCCTAGCACGTTTAGATATTCAGTCATGTATGCATTCAAGAAAGACCTGTATATATATATATATATATCTCCCCCACCCTTTTTTGTTCTTTCTTGTGTAATAGTCGTGATGTCAGCAACCATGACAAAGCGGAGCTGGGGCCTTCTAGATCCGAGCACACCGTTGGTCGGCGCAAGACCCAGGCACCACTGATCCCTGGTCGGAGATGTATCATTGGTGACGAAATAGCCCCCCCCCCCCCCCCCCC